AAGACCTTCAATGGAAAGTAGAGGGAATCCAATCCATTCATGGCTCACAACAGCATGCCGACGAAGTGCATTATCGTGCCTTTTGACCATGTTAGTGCCACCTTTTTTTGGTTCCAACATTGGTGCTTGTTTAAGCTAATAATAAGAAAGGGACATAGTATGATCCATGCAGACATGTCACAACACCAGTGGTTGTTTTCACCACTGATTGAGGTGAAAAACAGAAAAACAATAGCAATGCGTGTACCCCGTGACAAACTTTATGGGCGGTCCACGAACGTACATGTTAAAGCTTAACTTTTTTAGTGTCCTAACATTTCTATCGAATCTTAATATGCGGACACCATTTATTATTGTTGCACACTTGTTGTATTAATCATCATTATTACCAATACTATAATTGGACTCTTCCTTGCTTATACATATTCTAGCTATTGTCAATCAAGAGGTCAATTCTTGTCCAAAGACATAAAATTATTTTCTCGGGTTTCCCGCTTCTTGGGTTGTGCTTCCTTTAAACTTCTATTAACCATGTTTTGGATTATTTCTCTAAATGCGATACTCAAAAGTTATAATAATTAAGACTAATGTTATCGGAGTTTGAAAAATTAATCTAATTAGCCGACTTAATGATGTGACAGGGGGGACGTGGTGCAATAGTATTTTTTTGAGGATAATTGCTAGACTTTTTTATTGGAACTATATCAGTTGAAACATCATTATTTCATTAAATTAGATTAATTTTTCATATCCTAATAACTTTACTCAATAATTAATCCTTCATTGTTATAGTGATGACCACCGATGTATACCAAAAAATTAACACAAAAGGGCAGCCATAAAGTGCATGGGTGAAATCAGAATTTTTCAGGACGGTTTAGTGGTTAAGTCTGATTTTGAGTAACTAATAGGTTTTCAGGATTAATTTCTTCTCATCATAGGGCTGTCAATTTGCAACACGACACAAATCAAACGCATAATTAATAAGTCAGACATGAAATTAAACGGGTCAATGAATAAAAATGGATCAACATGCTTAAACACAAAAAAAAAATCATATCGAGTTTATGTCAAAATCAAGTCAACCCGATTAACCCGTATATTTTAAATTGATTAACATGATTCAAATACGAAATTGACCTAACCCATTGTAGACCTGTTGAACCCAAATGAGATGTGATTTGTTGTGGGAGAATATTAGTATAATTCTTGCTTTAATTTTTGGGTTGACTCTTGAATGCCCTTTAATTAATTTCATTAATGAAATGTGATTTGTTATTGGTGAAAAAATTATTCAAAATTTTGGATGAATGATTGAATAATGTATTTAATGGTAATGAATATGTGTTAAATAAGCTATGTATATTAAACAGGATAAACAAGATTCATGTTATCTATTTTAACCCGAAAACAACATGTTTATTAAACGTGTCAAATAGGTCGGGTTCGGATAACCCATTTAATGGTTAGATTAGGTTAATGTTTACACACCTCGATACAATTATTAAATAGGCCAAGTTCGTGTTTCGATGCAAACTCGAAATCAACTCAACATGAAATAATCCAATTCTACACGTTTGACACCCCTATCTCACCACATTCCTTAAAGGTTAGTTACTCTTGTTCTTTCGAAACATACTCTATCCCAGCTCATGTCATTGTAGCCGCCGCTGAATTTGAAAAAATAATCGGCGCAAGTCACGTCACTCTATAACTAAAAAAATCAATGATGAGAATACAAAACATGGTAATATTGTCATCCACACAGTCAAGGTGTCTAATTGTTGTACGGACAAATTTTAGGAAAATTGATAATTTTTTTTTTTGACCAAATACTCAATCACTCAAAGTTTTTACTATTCACCCAATATCGACAGTAAAACATAACACAGAAATTCAGAAAGACCAATAAGTTCAATTCCATAAACTACTTCCAAACAAGCCCGGAAAATTATTATGCTGCTGCGGTTAACATACACCGTGTGCATTTGCTGAGTTAATTGAACACAGTAGGAACTGGCCTTTTCACAGGTAAATGAACTGCGGGTCAAGCCGAAGATAAGTGCTACTAGGGCCAACAAAATTTTATATTGGGCCAAGCCCGATTACGTTTCCAATGTGGTGTTCTGAGGGCTCATTTCCCAAACCAAGGGTACTCCTTGTGTCTGATGGCCGGCCCATAGTTCTATTCTAAGAGGTGATAAGACCAATGGACTCTTTAAATACTTTTGCTTGGTTGGAGATGGTATACAGATTGAATCATATTGTTTGAATTGGATTCGGGTTCTTTACGCGTCGACTTGGATTCGAATTAAATTCGCGTTAGTCGCACAAATTACACCCGTAGATTGTGCAAGCTGTACAACATCATGTATTGGCATTCAATGACTCTTAAATGAAAACTTCAAAATTCAACTGACAGGCGCAGGTAAATCTTAAAGTGATTACCTACCCATAAAAATTTCAATTTGACTACGGTACTTAAAAAAAAATTGATACTCTACCTTCAAATTTTATTATATTAATAAATAATTTTATAATTTTTGTGAGTTATTTTATATTTTTTTTGAGTGATATATCACTTTTGTAATATTCAAAAAATAATAAAAATTCTCACAAAATTAATAAATGGTAATATGGTACCAATTTTTTTCAGGAAAAATTTCATTTACACCCCCTCTAAATAAGTCTATCTTCAACGACATCCCCTGCCATTTCTGAAGTTTCAGTGCACTTTCTTATAGTTTATATGTTCTCTTCACCTAGATCTCCTAATGTAACCAGTCGTTACTGACCATCAGAAAAGTGTTGATGCCATACCAAAATTTTTATTAAATACCAATTTTACCCCTCTTATTTCCCATGACATCCTTGTTTCACCCCTCTCTCTCACAATCTCATGCCTCAACAATCCAATCACCTAACTGCAAAAATAACATAGCAATAAACACAAGCCACTGGTCCTATTATGAATCGATGAAAAATAATGTAAAAAATCTACATAAAAAATAAAAAATTTAGTGTTATAAATCGGTAACACTAAAATTTTTTTTTTTTTTTTTAAACTGGTAATACTGTACACTTAAACATAATACAAGGAAAAAAGGCAAAATAATTTTTAAAATAAAAAAATCGATGACATCGTATGCTTAAACATAATATAAGAAAAAAATTCAAAATAATTTTTTTTAAAAAAAATCGGTGACACCGTACGCTTAAACATAATACAAAGGAAAATTTCAAAATAATTTAAAAAAAAAAACGGTGACATTGTACTCTTAAACTTAATATACGGAAAAAATTCAAAATAGTTTTTTTCTTTAAATTAAAAAAAAAAAAACTGGTGACACTGTACGCTTAATCATAATACAAGAAAAAAATTCAAAATATTTTTTTTTTAAAAACCGATGACATCATATGCTTAAACATAATATAAGGAAAAAATTCAAAATGATTTTTTTTTAATTTTAAAAAAAATTGGTGACATAGTACACTTAAACATAATATAAGGAAAAAATTCAAAATAAATTTTGTATAAATGAACTCTACAAAGGAGAGTATTTGTGTCATTTTCCTTGCTTGTATCCATTAGTGGATTTATACCAGCAAATAATACCACTTGGTAGGTAGTATTCATTAAAGTCGTGTACAAAAGATAAATGTTACTGTATAAACTGGGTCAGTATTGTAACCCGAAAAAAATAATGTACATAAAATGTCAACCAAACAAGATAATAAGTGAGTAGTAACTATTTATATAACTATTAACTCTTTGCACATTAAGGACCACACAAGGTAATACCTATTTATGTATAGTTTAAAGAAAAATAAATGGTGAATATGTAAATATTTATAAAATTCATGGATAAAATGGTAAAAAGTGTGTTTCCGTCACGTCTGTTAGCCGATCAATACTGACAGGGGAGGTCAGTGAAATTTTAAAAAAAGTAGGGCGTGTAGTTGAAGATAGATCTATTTAGAGGGAGTATAGATGAAATTTTCCTTCTTTTTTTTTTTTTTTAATTCTGAACAAATGTCTTTCTCAGGAAGAGTTTGGTTGAATCTCACTCACATTAGCATTGAAATCCAATCCGGTAGTAAAAAACAAAGCAGCATCTGTTCCTTCCAAAAAGGTCATAGCCCATATGTACCAAAAATCGAGGTCACCTTACGGGCTGTGATGGCGCATCCCCAGCGATCTACATTTTTTACGGTCCAGATTCAATCACACCGGGACGGTACCACCTAAATCCGCGCTTTGTGTTGTGTAATTTAGCGCCACCACACCACCGAAGCAAGACCTCCTCTAATATATATAAACTTTTTTTAATTGATCATTTATCAGTAATGAATGGATGATCTATATTTATATACAATAAATCTCACTTGTACAAAGTAAATATTATGCATAACAGTTGCACCACATTAAAAATATCACGTGCATTATCAAAAAAATAAAAAATAAAAAATAAAAAATAATGACATGTAACACCGTCATCTAATAAGAACACAATAAATTGAGTAAACCCCTAAAACAATTTCCCTACCCAAGGCTCCACTTTCATACAAGCATAAACTGCTTCAACAACAAGAAAAATCACGCACACAATAAAAATATATCTAAAAAAATGAAAACATATCCAAAAGAAAATAAAAGAAAAGAAAATGAGAGGTGATTCATCTCTCGAACAATATTATTTAGATTTAATTTATTAATTTAATATATTATAATTATTAAATTGACTATAAATTATGTCAAATATTAAAATTTATTACAGTATTAATCTAATAATTATAATAAAATCACAAATATATATTTTTTTTTGGATTATAAAGTGTCGAGAATAAAATCACATTTTTAGGTCCAACACCATTACTCTTCGCCCCTCTCTGTGCACTTCGTGTACACTGTGCCCGACTGTTCGTATCAATCAATCACATAGAGGTGGGGTTCTAAAAAACCCCTCTTCTTTGTTCAGAAGTTCTCTGAGGGAAGAACAATGGGGAGGAAATCGAAGGCAGCAAAGCTTGAGGCTAGGGCTACCGTGGTATGCATATTCTATTTCACTAGAAAATAGCCAATCTCTTGTGCTTTTTTCTTCTTTGTTTCGTCTTGTGTTTGATGGATTACCTTGTTTTTAATCATCTTTTTTAGACTGTATTAACCAAACTTGATTATGTATGCTCGTGAATACTTTCTATTACTATTGTTAATTTGTTGATCTTGATATTTCTCTGTCTGGATTTCTGTCATTGGGGGTAAAGGTTATATATTGTAGATATTAAAAAAGAGTTATCAAATAATGGCATTCATTTGTGTGTGTGCACATTCTCTTTTTAAGTTGGTTACAGAGGAAGTGTGTTTTTGCGCATTCTTGATTGACCTTGCATGACCTGGCCTGTTTAACATCATAGATTTGCTAATTGTTCTCATTTGTTCGAAGGTTGAGAACCCAATTCCTACTGTGGAGGTTGTGAATGTTGAGCCTGAAGTGCATAAAAACTCTGTTGACTTACCTTCAAGCAAGAAAGCATCAAAGGGCAAAAGTGTGATCATTAGGCGATCTGGACGTCTTCAGAATTCAGCCCCACCTACCCACAACCAAGGGATAGAACCCATGGCTGTGACGTTTAATCTTGTTGAAAGTGATAAAGAAGATGAGCCACAGGCTGAGCAATCTAAGCAAATGCCAGGTGAAGCAAGCTTCGCGGAGAAACTCAACTATCTCTTTCAAAATGTGGAAGAATTGAAATCTAAGGTGCTAATTCAGCTCTAACAAAAGTTGATTTGCCTTTGTGTATTATTAATATATGAGGATAAGCTATGTTAATGTCAAACCAATGGAACAGGCGACCAACAAACAGTCCTCTAGTGATGGCCCATGCACTGACATCAATTACAGAAGCCTATATATTGACTCACAAAAGAAGGTTATGCTTTTTTAATGATTTGGTAATGTCTTCTTCTTGGTCATCATAAACTGTCTATCTGTGTCTTTACTATTTCTATTTCACTTGCAGAATGAAGCATTAAAACATGAAAATCTTCAGCTTGCCAAGAAGTTGGAATTTGCTCTTGGAAAAGTCGAAGCGGTATGGTTTTACTTGAACATAGTATCGAAGATATGATCAGTTACAACGAATTACTGTTTTTCTCTTCCAATATATGCAGTGCAATGGGAATAAATGGTAGATACAGTCTCTTCATCCATATTCTTTCTAATAGGGCTTGAAATAGTACTGGTAAAGAACTTGTATTCTTCCTTGTGTCAAAAAAAAAAAACAAAAAACAATGAAATGATGTACTTATATTTATCAAGAGCAAAACCATCTGATCATCAAATGGCGAGGTTGGAGTTCTACTAGAATTTTAGATATTGGTTAATTCATACTGTCATGTTGCTTGTTAGTGGATCAAGAGGCATTGGTAGCAATGTTAGTTTGTGCGTTGATATTGATGAATTAAGTTGATTATTCTTTATTATGTCACTTTTCTGCATAATTTTTAGATGCATGTGTATGAAAGATCATAGAACAAGCTACATTAGATATCAGAAAGGCTGAAAATGCTTTTGTGGAATTAGTCCTCTTCCTGGAACTTGTCCTACTCAAGTGGCTTTGATATGCATGGGTGATGTTTGTCTTGGTGTACACTACTTTAGCTTGCACCACCAAATCCTATGAAGTGTGGATAGTTTGATTAAGGTGACGTATCGGTATCCGTATCCGATATGTGATGGAAGCATCAAAGATTTGACCTTTTCGAACTCTTTCTGTAACTTACTAGAGGCCCAGGAAACAAAGAGAAGATGTGTACGAACGAGATATCCAACAACAAAAAAAAAAGAAAATGATTGAATAGAGGAACTCCCGAACATTTGGAGGTCTCGGATGTGTTGATATCAATGGTTGGTGACTCATTATTTCGATGAATCATTTCTTCAGACAGAAGAAGATTATGTAAACACTTACTCAAAATCTCACTTATCAAATTCTATTGTGGAAGACGTCATTTTTTCTAAAGAATTAGTCATTATGTATTTGATCCATGCATAATATCATGAAAAATGGATTCAAATATATCGGGTACCGATACTCATAGGATACTTGTAGATACATATAAGATATTTTCCATACAAATCAAATAATTAATAAAGTATTTATCATTGTTGGATACTTGTCGGATACACTTTGGATACGTGTATCTTCATGGTGAATACAATCGTCTTATACTTAGTAAGGTGGGTTGTTGAGAAACTGTGAGCTATACAAACGGAAATTCCTCATTTCAAGATATTTATTTGGAGGTGGATCACATATATCACAAGATTTGTCAATTATTTACAATTTGGTTAGCTTGAGTAATAAGTTTTGATGGCTTATATGAAAGGTAATGAAGTCTATCGAAATTAAATGCTAAGTAAAAATTGAGTATTTTCGAAGGGTGATGCGTCTTCAGTTTTAGAATTTACATAGAATCTTGTAGGGTGACGATTCTTTTGTTTGCTTGGTTGCAGTATGAAAAAGTGAACGATGTGATGGAAAGCTTGAAGGAAGTTATATTAGTCTCAAATCTGGGGAAGGCTACTGGAGCGGTAATAGATATATCCTCTCAAGCGGTATTTGGTAGATTTTCTCCTCCGCGTGCTGAAACCCAAGCTTTGCCTAAGAGAAAGAAACTTGGTAAAGGAAGTACAAAAGCTTAAACCTTTACTGTAGAATCTTAATAGCATGATCAAGCTTGTACAAGGAAAAATGTTTCTACTGAAAACCAGTATTAGCTTGTGCTCCGTTGGTTCCTTTTGCCTGTGTAGTAGTAGTTTCTGTTGAACTTGCCTATTAGCTGTTAGCTTTTTACTATATATTATGCTTTCTTAAGTTTCTTGGGAATCTATTAGAATGTATGTAATTTAGTATTGTCATCTTGTTAATTCCCTTCTGTTGATTCATTTAGCAATATGCCATCTCACTTCATTTGAATATTTAGCATTTATGCATCATGCCATTAATCTTCCTGGAATTGAAGATGAATTTGGATTGTACTGCTTCCGGTGGAAGTTAGTATTATCTTGCTAGCTTCGTGGCAAGTTCTCCTAAAGTGATTTGGTTTTCAAGATATTTAATGCTATTTTGAAGTTTTGGTTAGTCTATAGCTATTTTGTTCAAAGAGAAGCTGTCATTATTGTCAAATATTGCTAGGTTTTGGAGTTTATGGTGCAAGAAGAGTTTTGTATGTTGCGTTAGTTAAATTTTGAAAAAGCCTTTTAAAGATTACGATGTGCAAGACATTTCGAAAATACATGAAACACCTGACTTTGTGCATGGTCATAGAAAAAAAACTCTGGTTTTTTTGTCGTAAAAGGCGCACCTAATCGAGCATGTATTGGTCAAAATCAATCTTTAAGTTTAATATTTATCCCAGTTTTTATTTTATTGTATCGGTTTTAAATTAGTCAAATTAGGTAACATGACTGTTTCATTGACAGAAAATCTTACCCTCTATTTAATTTCTCAAATGTCAAGGGCCTCTTCCATGTTAAGGCCTTGCCATGTTATTTGAGCAAACCTGTCACGCCCTAATTTACATTAAAACATGATTTAATAAAATAAATATTTATCTCAAATTCTCTTGCCGGTTTACAATAATAATTGAATGAAATGAAACATTGGATTTTTTTTTTTTTATCAAAATATATACCTTTTTTTTTTTCCAAAAATTTTTGTAGAATTTTCTTTGAAAATTGAGCTTCCAACTAGCTAGTACGAGCATCCCTGTGAGAGCATAACATGATTTAAACTAGCTAAATATTCACAACATGCCTCCATTAAAAATATAATTCAACTAAATCCGGGGTACTAATTAGTGGCCCACGAAGTCCTCCCAAATTCAGATACATCCAACACAAATATATACCACAACTTAGTACTCAAAGTCATAACTTTACATTACAATACCCAAAATAATAATTCTTCTATGGAATGATTAAGTGTACACCATAAATGTCTCAAAACAATCTTTTCAAATACAATGCTTGAGTACTAATATTTTTACATAAGTTCTAAAGATAAATACAAAAAAAATTCAAAAGAGATTCTTTATAGTCCAAGCTTTCACAAGCATTCTATCATTTATGTCCTAGGATGCATACTAGTCTCTAAAAATATTAGTAAGGGATGAGCAACCACACGCTCAGTAGGATAATCCTTTTTCTAAGCATTTATAAAGTTTTAAAAATCAACATTCCACAAATCATACGAATAAGTAATGAAAGTTTTTTATAATTAAATACAGGTACAAGATAATAAGTAAAGCATTTATAAAAATCTCTCAACACCTCAACATTAGAAATATATAAGGTATAAATTAAAGCCCAACCATCATAGTAAATATCATGCATGCCTCGCATACGGACAACGTAATCAATCACATTAGTTCACGAATGAACCATCCCCGGGGAACTTTTTGGGTCTTGCACCCTAGGGTCTCATCGCCTTTCTTACTTTTTAAAGGGAATGTGTAGGGCACAACTTGTGACGTCCCATAGGCCATCACCGAAAATCACTACCATAACCAATCCCCCTTAGAACTAGTAGTCACCTTGGCAACCCACTCCATAGGCCCAACCGTCTACTAACCATTTGTCTGTCAGTATCAAGCATACATTTTTTAAAACTCATTATTTTCTATATCCATAAATCTTTTTAAAAACTCATGTCATAACCTTGACATTTTATCAAATATATAGTATACTCAAATCTCAAAATTTGCATTTTCAAAGCAACACAACCAATTTCAATGGAATAAGTCATATATTACGTACAAAATCATAGCATACTTCAAAATCCTCAAATCATAAGTTCAATCAAATACTCATAACTAAAATCAAACTAGGGTTTCAAACCCACCACAAAATTATTTTTATTTCAAAGAGAATATGTAATATATATTATGTACAAGGTCATAGCATACTTCAAAACCCAAAAATCATAGATTTAATCAAATATTCATAACTAAAATTAAACTAAGTTTTCAAACTCATAACACAAAAATCATTGTTATGCATATAGGTTCACAATCCATGACATATTTAACACTAAATCAAGGTTTATAACAAGTAGTTTTGTCATCCAACACATAGTAAGGTTTAACTAAAAAAAATAAATGAGATACACATTGTAAATGTAAGAGAGAGGAAAACCTCGCTTAGAAATCAAAATTTTAAGCTTAATCTCCAAGATTCTCAAGCCAAGCCCAAGCCTTATAGCCCTTCTTCTATCTTCTTTTCTCTTTCTCTCTCTAGTTCTAAGATGGGTGAAGGAGTTTTTGGTGAGAGATGTGAGAAAAAATGAAAGAAAAGGGACTAAAATCTGGGTTTTAAACCCAGCAGTCCCCGAATTCTACTGTTCATGGGCTGGAAAATATATTTTTTCTCTGAAATTACAGTTTTGCCATTAAATATTCCAATTTTGATTCAAATGACTACCTTAAGGTTTTTCGACGTTGCGGATTTATTTTTAATGTTATTTTAACCTAAAAACATTTAGTTTTATGATTTATCTCAAAACTAAAGTTAATTTACACCCGAAACACTAAAATTACTATGTTACCCCTTCAAACCGCTGCATAAGCTAAGCATCTATTGTAAGTTTTTTGGACCTCCCAAATTCAATGGTAATATTATTTTGACCTAAAAACATTAATATGTTTACTTAGTTATCTTTATCAATTTTAAACACTTTCAAAAATTAAATTTGACACAAAAGTCAATACGTTCGCACTTCAAGCTTACACGACTATTCTTTTAACAACAATTCGAAGTTTCTCTCATCATTTTAATTATTTTAAAACTATTATCAAGTTAATATCATTTATATTTATATGAAATACAGAATCTCACAAAACCTAAAGTGTTGTCAATGCAACTTACCATTTTTATGCTCTTTTTATTGTTATTGTTCTTGGTGGGAGATTACAGAGGCCTGTACTATTTTTATGTTCTTTCTATAGTTCGGGCTCTTAGTAATGATGAGCTAACTATCTTAGTATATTACAATGCAATTTTCATTCATTAATTTTGATGTGAACCCCATAATATCTGGCCCAACTTGACTTCTTTTTTTTTTTTGGTCCTACACTAATAAAAGGTTCAAAGTCACAATCTTGAAGTGTAACAATGGAGAGGTGACTATCAAGTCAATTGAAAACCATGGCCCACCTTGACGTTGGAGAAACTAAATTATTATACTACTATGATTTTGTATAAACTGGTTCTTTAATCTTTAGCTATATAGATAGACAAATGCCATTGTAATTGCATTAGTATTTAAAAATGTAGAATAGCACTATAGTAGCGTACTAAAAGTGACCATTTTTAAATTATAAGTGACATTTTATAATTGTGTAAGGTTAAATTATAATTATTTGTACTTTAAAAAATTATAACTTTGAGTTTAAAAAATTATAATTGTTAGAAACATGTGCAGTCATCCTCAAAAAGAATATATATGTAACTGCATTTGTTAGGTTCACGTCCCCGTCCAGCTGCTCCCTCCACTTTTTTTTGGGTATAACAGTCATTTTGTCCTCGTTCTCTTTGTTGACAGGCTGGAATTGGAATCCCATCAATTTGACAGAGAGGGAGAAGAAATAGTTTGAGTAATGTTATTATGATTTAAAAATTTATTTAATTTATTAATTTAATTTAATAAAATTATTGAATTAATACTAAATTTTAATGTTTAAAGAGGCTTACGGTCAATCCAAGAGTTACTACAGTGAATTAGATCAGTAAATTATATAATATAATTTATTTATAACTTTTAATTCATATGAATAATAAATAAACTAAATATAATAGAATAAAAATATTGAAAAGTATCATAATCTCATTGAACAACAAAGGAGGTACCGTAAGTTGGACCCATAATATTAGGGTGTTCCCTTTATCCTATGGGTAGAAAATATGGTATTTCATTTTTTTACTCGATATTTTTGCGATAATTTTTTTTTTGACCTACCCTACCTGATCAAATGTAGTATTCCTACCCAACTTTCAGCCAAATTAATCAGATAGAAAGTCGGATAAAAAATTAGGTGAACACTTTTATAGTTATTAATTTTTGGATCACTTTAACAATTCAATTAAATAACATGCATCAATTTAACAACACAATAAACTAATAACATTAAAACATAAAACAATTACAACAATAATTACAATAGAATACAAGAAAACATAAACATCAATTCATCATAACTATTGCACAAATATAGTAACAATTATTTTAAGTTTAAACCATATAGTTAGAGAATTAGGATTTTTAGTTTATATATATACATATATATATATGTGTGTATATATATATATATATATATATATAAATTAATGCGAGTATAATAGAGTAGGAATACAAAAATTAATGACTATTTTATATTTTTACTCGATTTAATTGAAAGACCTAAAATTCTTCAATATTCGTATTCAATTTTTTTAATTAACTGTTTAATAGGGCTAGATAAGATCACATAGAATAAGAAATTAGAACTACTCGAAAATTTGAACTCCGCTATGGTCATGGTCTATGGGGCTGCTTCTCTTCTATAAAGGACAAAAAAACAAAACCATAGAGTCTGAAGAAGTGACAAATAGACAACCAAATTTCGAAGGAAACGCAGAGAGAGAGAGACTACTTGTTGAAGTATTCAAGTATTATTTGACGAATAGAGAGAGAGAGGACACGGAACTACCTTCTTTTGATATACTGATACATATACTCTCTCTCTCTCTCTCTCAGCTCAATCTTATCATCTTCGTAGCTGACGCTCATGTAGCAATCAAGTCCAGACTGAGCAATCAGATCTCTCAAGAACTCTGTTGTTAGTGATTCTATTTCTTCGACTTTAATTGAGTTTTTTGGCTTTTCTTGTAATGCATTTGGTTTCAGGATCGTATTAGAGTTTCTTTTATCTGCTTGAATCTTGGCCATTTCTCCTATGGATTATTGTGATTTGTTTATTAACCATTATATCGAAGGGGTTCAATCAAACTGTTCTTGATGCATTTTTTCGATGCTCTGAGATTTATTTTGTTGAGTTATTTTGGATTTGGGGGCTTCCTTTACCGATGTGAATAGGTTTCTTCTGGAAAATTTGCTCAACCGTTTCGACTATTGGTGGTAATTGGAGTGTAATTTGATATGTTGTGTCTTCCCCATTTTTCCTTTGGTTTTTTATTTCTTGGTGAATTTTCCCTGTGCTTCAAATACTTTCCCCCATGTTTGCGACCTGATATGTAGAATTTAGTATCTAGTGGACTGAAGTTGTGACTAGTATCCTCTACAACTTGGGCAGAAATGATAGGCAAGAAGCCTGCAGTAGCAATGCACATTGAGAATTTCCATAATGGTGGGGATAAGTAAGGTTACCTTAACTCCGTCATTTGCATTTCAAAAGTGGATGGGATTGGATAGAAAGCTATATAATTTAAAGAAATCATATAAATGCATGTATTTTGAGAGGGCATGCAGGCAAGATTTGATGCTTTGGATGGCTGAGGTGACTGAACTGAGACCAACTAGAGAGGCAGGATCAAATTTTTTTTGTATTTGCCACATTGCCGTTGTTCTTTTTTGATGTCATTGCAACAGTAATACTTTTACTGTCAAGTCTGTTTCGTCCAGTTTGCTAAATCCTCTTTGGTCACTTAAACTTCATATTTTTTCTTCATTTCTCCTGGAATGACGTGTAATCTTGAATATTGATACCTTTTTGATACGGTTATGTTGCAGTTTGCTCAGATATGGAAACTTTGACACTTGAAACTGAGAATATAGGCTCTGATATATGCTCTGCTTTGGGGCTTAACCAATCAAGCAAGGAGCCCCAAGTTCTCTCTCTTCTTTCTTCAATTCTTGAGAGATCTGTTCAGAGAAATGAAATGTTGTTGGAGACAAAACAAATTAAAGATGACTTAACCATATTTCATGGTTCAAGAGCACCTTCTCTAGGCATTCGACTATATATTGAGCGTATCTTCAAGTATTCATGCTGCAGCCCATCCTGCTTTGTTGTTGCACATATTTATGTGGATAGATTCATTTGGCGCACAAGTTGTCATTTAACTTCTCTCAATGTACACCGGCTATTAATTACAAGTGTAATGCTAGCAGCAAAATTTGTTGACGATGCGTAAGTGCCAGTCCTAAAATCTAGGTGTTCTATATTTCCTATTTAATGGTCACAACATGTTTTTGGGGGAATAACAACCATATTTAGCAAGTACAAACTTTTAATAGGCATGCATGAAATTACTTTCACTTTACCTGTTAATCAGGAAAAAAATAAGGAAAACACTTTCTAGAGGGGAATTGTGTGCTGTAGTATCATGATTATCTCTCTTTTCACACTTAGTTTGATATTGCTCCAGTGCAAACTTCTAAATATCATTTATGCGTTTTTCAGATTCTTCAATAATGCATACTATGCCAAAGTGGGAGGAATAAGTACCACGGAGTTGAACAAACTGGAGATGAAGTTTCTGTTTGGCCTGGATTTCCGGCTTCATGTGAGTGTTCAGAAGTTTGAGAAGTACTGTTTGCAGTTGGGAAAGGAAGCTACTACTGGAGGGCTCCAAATTGAACGCCCACTCCCCATCAAGGTTTGTCGAGTCAAAGAGAGCTGGTCCAACAAAGATGATTCCACTTGTGCTTCAACAGTTGCTAGATGAAAATTTGGAGTAGGAATGATATTCTGTCGGTTACCTCAAGTGAGAAAATGGATGTTAAGTTGGTATGTTATATTCAACTGTAGGGAGTAACCAACATTTGAACATACTGCTTTAGTTTTCCCTACCTGGTAGTAAATAGGATGCTCTATGTTTTTAGCTGTTCCTTCCATGATTCTTTCTCCTCAATGCTGTCATCTCTTTAGTTGGATTGCCTTCCTGGTTTGGGTCTTTGTCCATACAAGTATGTGTATATACAGATTGTGCTTGTTTGTATCATAAGTTTTGTTCTAGTTATCTTTGTCGCCTGACAGGACATGCACCATACATGACTGGATGCTACTGGCTCTATGGATGATGGTCTACAATCATCTTTGCTTGTATGATACCAGCGTAGTAAGTTGGGTCAATGGTCGGTTTCATCCTGCGGAATGACACTCCGGGAAAAGGTTACTGACATCGCCTCCGCTTCACATCCCCGCAGTTAGACAGGTGCAGAGACCAGCACTTTGTCAAAACAGGGCATTGAGGACACTCTTCAATGCTAACATACTGGTAATTTCTACCCAGTCGGGGAATGCTACCGGATGCTTATCCACTGATTTAAATTTAAAACAAACTTCACTTTACTCCCTTGTGTATACTTCAAATGCACTTTACGGCCCTAACATTTAAAAACCTCTACATAACAACTTTCACGCAGTTTGTGGGCTAAAATGTAATCCTAACATCATTAACAGAAAATTTAAAATGACTTTAATACCCCTACTTGTCTCTTTTTTTCTCTTCTTTGAAGACCTTCCCTTCTCCAGGAGACAAAATCTCTCTCTCTCTCTCTCTCTCTCATCCTGCTCCCTGTTTCAAACACAATCATACCACCACCATTCCCCGCCATGAATATTTTTTTTTTTTGGGTTGGGTCTGGATAGGGTAATCCCAAACTTGTACATGAATGAGTTGTTGAACTGGTTGGACCAGACTTTGGGTAAGAATAGGTTTTCTGTAACTCAACTAATCACTCACTGGGTGGACTTATTAGGCTGGCTTACAGGGAAGCCCTTTTTATATAAATATATTCATTTAAAATGTTTTCAGGTCAAGTATTTTTATAAATTACATGTTGGAATTAAAAATAAACAAAAAATAAATAATGAATAATACTCTAAATTATTCAACTTAGTATTCAAAGTAAATAATTTTTTTTAGAGGAATATATCACATAATTTTCAATGATAAATTTTTTTTTCAAACAAAGTGCAGTTTTTGTAGGTGTGCTAATAGACCAAGTTTCGGGCCTGGTAATAAGCTTGCCAGTAAATTAAAACCTAAGCTTAAACAGTCAACTATCAAGCTTATTAACTTTTGGGCCTATTTTTTTGGACTAGGTAATAAATCCCATGGGCCAACCCAACCCATGGACACCCCCAGCTGTTCACAAACAGTTCAAGATCAACTATTACTTTTAATGAACCAAATCGAAATCTAGTTTCATTGATCATTTGACAAACAAACAAAACTTGAAAAGTACTATGTTCAATTCATTAAACTCGAAAACAAATTAAACTCATTTGAAAACTATAACATATTTTACGTTCAATTTAATCTATTAAGATGGAGTCAGAACAAATTGAGCCCCATTTTGAAAAAAAATAACAATTCACAATCTAAGTTTGAACAAAATATTTGAAACTCTCGGCAAACAAACTTACCGAGCTCAAACAGTTAACAAGCTTAGCTTGGTCCGGTTTCATTTGCACCCCTAACACCCGCAATTCATCCCTTCCCATCTTTAGCTTCCAAAGTATTACTACTACAAAGATGAAAAAGGTGTTTACAAATCTGGAATTGGCACTGAAATGAGGTGTTACAGAAGCTTCCAGATCAAGTCAATCAAATTTTCTCCTAACCGTTTAAATGGTTACTAAGAAAGGAACCACTCTGTACATTCTTCTGGGTTAAGCTGATTAATCAATTATCAAAACTGAATCTGAACCATCATCTACACCCGCAAGTCAGGCCTTGTAAGTGTCCGTACAAAATAATTGCGCGTCTCTGGTAAAATCCGTTGGATCAAATGGGAGTACCTGCATCTCACAAACCCAACTAGTTTACGATAAAATGCTGGAGAGGATAAAATAAAAGTGTGCTTCCAATTAAAAGATTTGTTGCTCATTGCTATTTGGCTGATCAGAGATCAATGATAAATAAGTAAATTTACTCGCACCAGACCTGTGGGATGCACACACCCACATACATCACTCTGGTTATAGTAGATTATGGTGTTACAAACAATTTTTTAACAATAATAAATTGACCAAGTAGTAATTAATTAATGGGGCGAAAGGATAATTACATGAATTATGTTGTATAAGGTTATTAAATTAATTCTTCTTTCGCCATTAAATAAATAAAAATTCCAAAACTTTTAAGGAAATGCAGGAAGGCTTCCAAGCCCTCTCCGCTTGGTTTAATTCTTTTATTAATATATAGAGAGATTCAGAGTTTTCATGCCTAAGAAACACATTTTCGTAAAACAGTCACAATTTCGGAAGAATTTCCACCAACAATAGACTATTTACAGTTAACATGTGCGCGCGCGCACACACACACATACACACACAAAGAAAGAAAGCAGCCTAAAGGAAGGGCAGCACATACCATGGCATAGCACTTAATTTGTCAAACTTCTCCAATATGAACAGAATGCATGCATGCTTTAATGACATGGCATTAAAGGCCTCTGATAACTCATACACAAGCGAAACATTTTCCACCGTAATATCCTATAGAGAGATCATAAAAACCATCAGATTAGGACGCCATACTCATATGTAGAACAATTAGCCAACCAATCTGATTTCCAAACTCACTCGTGAAATGGCATATTCGCAAAGACGCTTAAGCCCCTCTAAAAGATACTGATCAGCAGCTCTCAGAAGATCTTGTGAAATGTCCAAATTGACATCTACTGATCCTGTGTATATGTATCTGCAAGAAAAGAATAAGAAAAATGAGGGTGTGTAACATCAACAAACACAAGAAACAGTTTTTTTTCCAGTTCAAATGAATGGCCAGAAAAAAAAATGCACCTCATCATCAAATCAAAAACATCCCATCTGATATTTGGAATCTCAATATCTTTGGCATCCTTCTCCTGCAATGTACTCAATGAAAATTTATTAACTGCTAAATTGAGTCTTGCTGGTTTTTACGGGAATCGTTTTGTGCAAACATGGTGCTACAGTGAGTCAGTGACACATGACCATGATGATCAACCTGGGTCAATTTAATAGCATTCCAAGAAAATGGAAATAACTCATCAGCTGTTGGGAAAAAAAATTCTGTGAAGAATCTAATAAAGGATGGGCTCTCAATCTCAGCTCTCCAAGGACAACAATCCCCTATCTCATGTGATGTTCTAAAGGTTATATTATGTTAAACAACCATCTACTCCAAAAGCTTAAAGCTGGTGTATTCAACACGCCCCCTTATGTGCACACTAAATTTTGGGCTTAGCACGTGAAATTTTTTTTAATAATTAGGATGATGGCGACATTCGAACACAAGGCCTCCTGCACTATTATCATATTAAACAACCATCTACTCCAAAAACTTAATATGTTGCAGAGAGTGTAGGTTAAGTATTTATATTTCAACATTACATGCAGAATAGAAGTTGGTATTATATACATATGCACATGTATATACATCGGTATGTCAACTGGGGGCAAGAACAAAATAAAAATCCTAAATAGAATAGATTTAGCTAAAGCATTTAATTGAAGCCACACTCACCCTGTAACCACCATCAAACATAGCCCTGAATGCATCAGAAGAAGCAAGCAGACAGATTCTGTGAGCGTAGAACCGTTTGCCTGATATGAAAACCATGAAAATAATAAGATATGAAATTAAGTTACTCCACAGACACAAGAAATGCATGAATCACAAAAGTTTATGTGCGTAGTCAGTTTCAACCTTCTATTAAAAATGTGACATCAGATAGAGTGGGATTGTTCACATACTGCTCACCCAAATACACCTGCAGCAATACAATGTGATCATTAAACCAAACAGCAGTTTCTTTGAACTTGCTACATAATTAAAAACAAGATAACAAAGTCTGCAGTGAGTAGCCAGAAGATGAAAATCGAAATAACATAGGTAGCAGTGATCTAAATTCAAAACAAATTAGATCCCAGATAACCATAAAGGACTTCTCCACCCCATCGGTTACTCCTTAAAATTAAAAAAAAGGCTCTTCAGTAGTATACAAGGCTCCCAGCTATGGCAGTCTGAGAAAGGTTAGTGGTATTCAACCTTATCTGCATTTTGGAGAAGTTGTACAACAGGATCCCGAAGATATAAGCGGTATGCAGTTCTATTTCCATCTTGAAAAGGCTAATTCCTCGACTCAAACCCGCGACATATCACTTGGGCAGATGACAAAGTAATCACAACTTACCAAAAAAAAAAACTAAGAACAAAAATTTTCACTCAACCATGCTTTTGGTTGAAACTTGAAATTCTGTTACGTGGATGCTACAGCTAAAACAATTGGACATCAACAAAACACACCTGAGGAATTGGGGATGGAGGAGCTGCATCCACAGGAGAAAGTGAGCTCACTTTGTTTGCCAACTTGTGCAAAGCTACTGAACCATCTTGTTGGTGCTTCAAGTTTGTTGATTCCAGAAGCTCCAAAAGCAAATCTAGTCCTTCAAGAATGTAATGTAAATGTAGGAACAGACGGTGACATTTCCAGATTGTGTAAGAGTCGGGTCACCCCAGATAATCCATGGATTGGAAACCAAAACTGGAGTGAATGATTAGATGCATTACCATTGCTATCAATAAAAACTGTTTTCTGATCATCAGGCAAACAAAGATGAGCGAGAGCCAAAGCAACTCGTCTTTGAACAACTTTCTCTGCAACCCGCATCATGTACAACAAATGGCTCAATACCTGTCAGCTTGCACATGCAATTTTACTTTTGTCATTCATTCTTTTCAACTCTCAAGCATAACCATCTTCTGAAAAAAGCTGGTTTAGTTAGAGCTTTAAAAAATATCAATCTGGGACCAAGTATTCCCAAAAAACTTCCAAGGCCTCTATATCATTGTATTGACGTTACAATTTTCATATGTCCATTCAGTCTTCATTCCATGAGAGCACTAGGATTTGGGGCAAAAATACGGCTCGCTAGGAAAAGGTTAAGAAAATGTAATTTAGGAAAGAGAGGAGCGGAAGGAGACTAATATGTAAGGAACTCACTCTTCCATGAATCTTCTCCTCTAATCTTTTCAATGTCTTCGCTACACAATCTTTAGTTGGCTGCAGGTGAATCACAAAATCCATATAAGGAGGAAACCACAATCATTGACTAGTACAAAGATATAAAATTGAAGAATACACTTCAAGAATGACATATAGGTCATCAAAATCCCAATCCGGAACAAACAAATCAATCCAAGTCTCATATAGAATCCCAAGTTAATAGGATCTGAGTGAGTCATGATCCGATTCTTATAGTATCGTAGAATCCCGATCCGAATTACGATTTTACCAATTCTAGTTGGGATCGTTTGTTGGGCGCATTTAATTATTAAGCTGACCCTATTCATATTTATCATTTAATACTTAAAGACTCAATTTAAATGTAATTGTCTCATATAATTGTATGTCTATTTTAAGAAATTTTGACGGGTGAAAAAGTTGCATAAAGTTCTTTTTGCTACAGAAAGCTCTCTTCATCCATTTGTCTCTCTCATTGAAAATTAAAAACAATCGTTAGGTTTGATCTCAAGAGTAATAATTGTTGTCTTCCATTTTCACTCTTTTCTATTTATTTTTTTTTGTTTGGATGTCAAACTGTTAGAAGTTATTTATTGAAAAATCTCTCAAATTTTCAGTCTCTCCACTATATCTGCCTCTCTCTAAAAGTTAAGATCAAAATATTTTATTTCTCCTACTGCTTAACAATCCAATTTTGATTTTTAACCATTTCCAATGCTTAGGCTATTCAAATAATCATATTTCTAAATATTATATTTTTTTACAACACATCAATCAACATATATACTAAGCTTGCATATTTTTGTCTCATTTTTTTCAAATTGTAAGATCTTACAATTCTTGATCTGATCCTACAATCCCAATCCTACAGCCTTCCCAATTGATTGAAAGTAGGATCCTAATTTTAAAAACCTTGGTTTTATTTGAATAAAAACAATGACTATAAGAATCAACAAGAATAATACTTGCACAATGAACTCTCCATCCTGAAGTTTCTGAACACCTCCAACCCTGATAAGGTCTGCAACATTATCCTACCATAGGAACTTAGAGTAAGTTGGAATGATTAGAAATGAACAACAGCAAGGTAAATTAAAAAATGACACCTTAAAGTAAAGCAAATCAGAATAGCAATACCTCATTATCTGCAAGACCATAAAGAGCAAAAGCAGCATTATGTTGCAGGGATCCATGTTTGGAATCAAGAAGCTTCAGTAGTGGAGTTATACCACCACTATGGGCAATACCAGCTTGGTTGTGTGTATCCTAATAATGAAACCTATTCAGCAATACAGGCAAGACATAGGTCTGACAAACTACAACCAATTAAGTGTTTGTGGATGTGTGGGTGCGACAGAGAAACACACAGAAGCTTTCTGTAAAATTTCTTATCATGGTGAAAGAAAGTGCAACAGATAATTCTGAAGAGACTACATTCATACCATGAGCACCCACTGTACACCTTAAAAAGGAAAACTTAAACTCCAGTTTAACTCCATTTCTTGGTGAATGGGGTCCTACCAACTTAAAACTTAGTTCGACAAGTAATAGGATAATGATTGGTCAACAGAAAGATAAGCCAAAAAGATACAGGTGGATAACATGCTTCAGTGACCTGGAGTGATGTACATTATGCAGCAGCGAAAACATTGTCGTACAGCAAAGTGCAAGAAACAGATATCTGAATTCTACAATATAAGACAACCGGAGTTTTGATTCTTCAGATAACCTGTGCCAACCTCCCCAGTGCAAAAGCTGACATTTCCCTTAGCTGAGCATCTGGTGACTGAAGCATCTCAATCAATGGCGGCACAGCACCTCTTTGGACAATGTGCACCTACATAAACATTACTCTACTATTTAGTAGAAGGGACATGCCACAAAAGGAGTAAAAGGTATAGTGGTCTCTTAAAAATTTATAATACTTAAGTAAAAAATGACCCAGCTACTTTATTTTGGAAAAACAAATCTCTTAATCAACCTTGCAATCTGAATCTGTGGCAGCAAATTGCCCAAGTAGCAGAGCAGCTTCCCTTTGGCTCTCTGAACAGCAGGAACTGTAACAGACTCAACAAGATCAAAAACTATAAAAGGTAAAGAAACGAGAAGGGGCAAGCCAATGCAAAACTTAAATTCTACCAAGAGAAATTCATCGACAACTTGCAGCAAACTAGGAGTCTAGGAATAAATGAAACCCTGAAAACAAAAGTAAGCAAGACTCATTGTATGAAACTGTACCTAAGTAATCCAATGACAGGTTGTAGAGCTCCAGCAACAAGAACTTCTTTCTTAATGTTCGGGGATGAGTGGACAAGATTCCCAATTACACCAACCTGACAGACAGATCCCTTTATTTGTCATTTTAGGTTACAGAAACTGTGAAGCATGGATATGTAGAATATTTCCAAACAAAAGTCAATTACTATAAATAATAGATCAGAGCTAACCGCTTCATAGTGTATAGCAGCATCCTCAGATCGAAGCATCAGGACAAGAGTAGGTAGAGCATTGCATTCCACAATCTGCAAAATACTTAATTCAGTATATCCCTTATCATGAAAATGGTAGGTGTGATAAACTGGCATAAAAAAGATAGCTGTAATTAGATCTCCAAATAGATCATTTGAAGCAAAGAAATTCATCAACCTGATTTTTGTTTTCATCATTTTTAAAGGCAAGAGTTCGCAGGGCCCCTGCAGCTGCTTTCTGCACCTTTGTATCAATGAACTCCAGCAATTCAACAAGGGGAGGGATACCGCCTTCAACCCTGCATGTACACTTGAAACATTAGGAAAAATGCATAATACTCGATATGCAACTCCAAATATTCAAGGAAACAAACCTAACACGAGTCTTAATGATGCTATTCTCATGAGCAAGGTTAGTAATTGCATCAGCTGCTCTCCTTATGACAGCATTAATTGCTCGAGAGTTTTGGCCATCCCTGTCCCTCTTTAGCAAATCCACGAGGTGTGGCAGGGCTCCAGCATCAACTATGGTTTGTTGATGCTCTGGCTGTTAAAACAAAATAGGAAGCAAAGCAACGTTATGTAAGTCAAATGTAGCTCATTACCCAGAACATTGGTTGTAATGTCCTTCTACCTATACATATATACATAATTTAACAAACAATTTTCTAGGGAGAGGCTTTGAGAAACCTTCCCTCTCTAGTTTCTATTTTTTTAGAACTTTGAATTATTTAATTACATGTAGAAAATGTGCAAAGCATGCATCATAAATTTCTTTTTTTTTTTTTTTTTTTGGGGGGGGTGGGGGGGGGGGATTGTTGGGAGTCATTCAGAGTATTTCAAAGCAAGGTCTGCTCTAGGAAAATATCAGGTGCACGTCCATGCCATTCTACACGCTAGTGTCGTGCACCCAATATTTATGCCCTGTGATAGGATCAAATAATTACTATTCCATTATAATTATAGGAAGAGTTCTATAACATAAAATTGTACAAGAAATAACATAACATGAGCCGCCAATTCATGCCAGAACCAAGAGCTTATAAAATTGTTTAATTACATCTTCCAAAAGTCTTTCTGGAATGTGGTTGCAAAATTTTCACTCCTAGAAGATATAGAGGTCTTAGGAATCAAATTGAAGGCAGTGTATCTAATCATAGTGGTAGGAATAAGATGTCTTATAAGCTAATTTCCTCTTGGATTAGAATCAACATGTGCATTAGCATGTTATCAATTTGTAACTCTAGCCGTATTAGTAGGAATGGGATGTCTTGTTCATAATTTCCTCTTCAATTAGGATCAACATGTTTAATAGTATGTCACAAACGCCCCAAGCATCATCTGAATTTGAAGGAGTCCAGCAATATGCCATGGATAACTGTTTTGAACTGGCAATTGAGGTAAGTATATGTGTATGACAGATTGAAGAACCACTACCAAGGAGTTCAATGAATGATCATAATACGAACAAGATCAAAGACCCTCTTCAAAAGGAAAGTTTCTTCAATTCAAAATCATGGAAAGCACAAGCAATAACACAAGATCAAAATTCAATCCAAACAATTAATTTGATTCCCTAAATTTGATCAGATGGGTTCATAATTTTCTGAAATATCAGCACACCAATCAGGCCTATCAGGCATTTAAGAAACTCAACCCACAAAAACTGACTAAAAGTAAAGGCAGCATAACAAAACAAAAGCATCTCCTCTACTAAAAAATGCAATTCAGAAATTTCATCGGCAAATTTATTGCATGCTTAAATTTAATTGCGGAAATAACTTAAATGTGCTTGATTAAAGTAAAAGAGAGATCAAACAGGTCAAGCGATTAAAATCTTCAAGATTCCAAATATTCATTTTATAATTACTTTAATGCCGAGAAGTCCTAGTGTGAAGGCGCTTCCTTTCTCAATCTCATGCTCGTACGGCTTCGGACCACTGTCTCCTTCTCTCACAGGCGGAGGTGCCTGAAGATGCCGCACAAGCGACGGAACTGCTCCGCAATCAACAATCACATTCACGATTTCCTCTGCAAACACATAAATCGCCCAAAGATCAAAACCCTAGACCAACAAGAAACTCGATGAACCACACAGAATCAACAGTACAAATCAACATCAACATCAAGAACCATATAAACAACATTAAAGATTCAATGGAAGTAAAATAAAGACATCAAGAGCATGTGTAACACCGTTTTTGGCGAGTTCAGAGAGAATATGAATAGCGCGCTTGGCGGAGGCCCGATCTGCTTCAATCGAAGAGAAAGTAGACTCTAGAATCTCCACCTGATCACGAACCTCGCGAACGAGATCTTGGTGACCGTCGAGAGAAAGAGACACGATCTTGCGACCTTCTTCAAAGTCTTCCTCTAGCTTTCTCTTCAAGCTTCTTCTCCCAGAGGTCGCTGGCTGTTCGTGGCCATGGCATGTCTGGTTCTCCATGAAAGAAGATGAGAGAGATAGAGAAGAGAGAGAAAAATGAGAGAGCAGGAGGAGAGAGTGTGCGTGAGTGAGGGTAGTTTGGGGAAACAATGTGGGTTGGTTTTTTCGGTGTATATTTAAATGCAGGTTGTGTGGTTTTTGCGTTTTATACCTTGCGGGCTGAATTGACGCCCGCCTATACGAAAAAGTTTCAAGCGCATTGCTAAATTGCGCTCCCGCCTGATTATGTTACGAAATTAATGGTAATTATCGCAAGGATTGGTCGACTTCACCTCCTCAATAGCATGTGTTATAATAATTTAAATAAAAAGATTTCGAAAATAGATAAAATAATCTCGTTTTTTTTATGGATGCAACTTAGACAGATTAACCCGAGCAATCCAAAAAATAAAAAAATTTAACAAATTTTTAATATTTAAGTTAGACTTAAATTAAAAAACATCCATTCAAATTGAATTTGGAAAGTACTTAAATTAAGATATCCAGTTATCGAGTTTAACTCGAATATATAAATAGAGTTTAATCCGATTATATTTAAAAATAAATATTTATAGCATAATTTATCCAACTAGCTAGGGATCAGTGGTTCACAATTATTCAATGCGCCTCTCTTCCTCTCTTAGACTCTCACTTTGGCGATCAGGCCTTTGACTCTCTCGTTCCCTCTCTTTCGCTAAGCTTTTCTCAGATTTCTGCCTCTCTCACTCATCCTTTTTTTCTCTCTCTCACCATCAACGATTGCTTCTCTCAAAACTTTGTTGGCCCGAGCTAAGCCCACAAAATATTTTTTGAGTTGGGTTTAGGCAGTGTAAATCTAAATTTTTACCTAAATGAGTTAATGAATAGGTCGGGCTAAACTTCAAGTAGGGGAGGCTACTCATATTTCAATCCACCACTCATTGCAATCAAACCTTCTGGGCATAATTTTTATATATAAATTCCTTTAAAAATAATGAATATTTTTGTATATAACTATCAAAGTATTTTAAAGTTTTAAATTTAATGGTCTATATTTTTTTCAAATGAAGGAAGGCGTTATTGGGTCGATTTTCAGACCAGGTAATAGGTTTTGAGTAGGTCCAAGCCCTATTTTTAATGATATTGGACTTGGGTTCGGATTGGCCAACTATCGATTCTATCGAGTTTAGACATATTTTTTCAAAACTGAATAATGAGACTCGTATACAATCCGACCTATGAAACACCCCTATATGCGGATTTCTTGTTCAATTTCATATTCACTTTAAGGTGGACTTTTGAGCAGTTGTTCATAGCAAAAATACATTAGGTAGATGTATTGCCATAGCTCGAATTCAACCCAATCAGTTTCAACCCGAGCTTGGTCAAAATTAACTAGGGTAGTACTCAGGTTGATTATCTCGAGTTAAGGTTAGGGTTGAAGTTTTAATACCTACAATTAGACTAGGATTAACCACTTAATCCCGCCCGAATTACACTCCTATTTTTTTTTTATGAAATAGTTATTTATTATACGAAGGATAATTTTTAAATTTTATAAAATTTATTTGCTCATGTGTTTATTTAATATTAAATGGTTACATTACATAACAAATGTTGACATAATATAACAATTACATTGAATATTACTTATGTAAACTATTGAATAACAAATTGGGTTGATATCATAATTTTGTGTAATTATTTGGTGTAACTGTTTGGTTTATTTGATATGTTAATGTCATAATTTTGTGTAATTGTTTGATGTAACTGTTTAGTTTATTAAAACGCATGAATAAATGTTTGGTATATTATAAAGCAGTTGTAGCTGCTTGGAGTGATTGTTTTGTTGTAATGTTGATATATATATATATATATATAGAGAGAGAGAGAGAGAGAAAAGAGGGAGAGAGAGAGAATATGAGAGATAGATGAAAAAATAGATCAAATCTTTACATATTTGAAAAGAAAATAAATTATCAATGATAGATAGAGAGAGAAAATAGGGGAGAGATGGGAAAAGTAACGGGGGAGAGAGAGATGGAGAGAAAATAAGGGAGAGAGTCTAGTGAAATATTAACATATTTGATTAGATATATAACTCTCAATCAAGAATAAATAATTTAAAGGCGGGTATTTAAGTAAAAAAATTTTGATTTCATTTGAAATTTGTACTTAAACAAAATATGTTTTATTAAAATTGAACTTAATAGAGTAAACAATTTATCTATACACTTTTTCTCAAATAAGTCTAAAAAATTGTACCAATACCCAAAAAAACCCTAATTTATTTACCTGAAGAGCATTGGGTCTGTTTTCCTAAAGACAATGACAAAGTAGAAGCCCAATTCGACAAAGATGTAAAAAGCCGGGGGGAGCCCATGTAATGGGTTGGGCTGACATTTGTTAGGCCTAATTTTAGATATATAGAGTGAAGAGATGGGCCAGCCAAATGTAATATTGGATCAAAAAACATGATTGGCAATGGATTGTATTCGATGGAAGCCCAATCAATCTTATAATTTCAGTTTGAATGATTACGATTTTACAATACCATTCTTGCAGCAACTACACAGGCAAAATGCAAGGACTTCAAAAGTTGAAACTAGGGATCTGAAATGGGTTGGGAGAGAGAAAGAAAAGGGGAAGAAGGGGGGGGGGTTCAAAAGATCAATATGAAAAGTTATAAAATTCTAATATTGAGTTCAAAATTCTAAGCTCAACAAATTACTTATTCTAACTATTTGTTTATCCTAACTATTTATAAACGCTTATGGTTAAACTTTGAACTCAAGACACAATTCGGAGTTCAATTTGAGTTGGACTCAAGTATTATTCTGGAGAATTTGACAAAAAATTGGATTTTATTTGGATTGAATCTAATATGACTCTTGCATTATACGTCATGGTTTTCAACTTAAGCTCTATCACGAGAAACAAATACCTCAACTCGAGTAATATTTAAAATCTAAATTGGGTTGCAATTTATTATTCTTTGTGCAAATATTGAATATTTCAAAATTAGACTCGACTTTCACCATTAGATACGAATGAAGACGTGGTTGTTTAAAAGATTTGTAAGTGAAAATCTCATAAGATTAAGTTATCACGAGTTCAAGCCTAAGGAAGAATAGTCTAAGAATTCTTATAGTCCTAATGTTGTGTTAACCATACTAAATTTCCACTGGATCAACGTTATACTATGATTCAACAATCCAGATCCAAGGGCTCCACAAACTGTGGTGGTGGTGGTAACTGGTAACAGATGGTGTCGGCGGGGAAAAAACTGTGGCGAAGAAGCTTCGCAATGCTTTCTTAGAAACGTGGCCTCATAACCACCCAGGCGCATTTTCAGCCATTTTTATCTGCTAGATCAGGAAGTGATAGGCTGGCTGTCCTGTTTCTCTCTCTTTCTCTCTCTCTCCTTTGTTAGGAAGGACAGTGGACAGTCCTTTCACCAGATCCTCCGATTCTCGCCCCATAAATAACAGTAATGCCAAAGAGGTCAATGGCATCTACCACAGGCCTAATAGCCTGTGGTTTGTCCTCATGTATAATAAAGAAGTGTATATCGCCATACCCAAAAACTTCCCTAGGTCCACCCAGCCATAAACGTATATTACTACCCAGCTGAGCAACAGTACTATAGGCTTTTATATGCATGCATTTGATAAAACAGTAGACACTGTTGCTGCCACTAGAAAAAAAAAAAAAAAAAAAAAACTGATCCAGGACTTCGAGGAATGGAAAACTAGGCCTGTGCACGGATATATCAAATTTAACTATATTGTTCAGATCGGATTGGATTGAGTTCTTCATTTTTAATAAAATTGGTCAAAATTCAATCAAATTCAAACTAATCCACTCACGAGGGAAAAAGCTATTAAGGATAGCTCAGGATGTCACAGAAAATAGCTATAAATTTAGACGTTTTGAGTTCGAATCTTAACAACTTTTTTGAGCCAAATCATAAGAGATTTATCCCTTATAAATACTCTAATCCCAGTGCAGATGGTTTAGCTCTGACCAGACGGAAAAAGAGATTAGTTGAGGTACGTGTAAATTAACCCAAACACCTGTTGAAAAAAAAAAAATCTAACCAAAAACTGTATCATTGGGTATTTTGCTAAAAAATCTAACACTTATTCTAACTCTTTCTAAGAGCCATAAAAACAGGTTCTTGAACTTATTATATGTGTTGAATTATGTTCAATGTTGATCATTATGTTATGTTTAGATTTAAGGGGAAGAGTTGAATTTCCTGATTATTAATCTATGGGAGTTTGGTTTGCATGATTTTGATTGCATTCTTGTTAAATGCAATGCAGTGGTAAGAGGGGGCTATAGCCTATAGCTCCTAAATTGTTATCCAATGGTTTTAATGTAATTTACTTATATGGGTATTTAACCCCATTAATTATGCAGAATCTAGTACTCTAAATATAATTTTTAAATAGGATTAATGACAGTAAGATTTCCAAAACCCAGATAATCCCTAGGTATTGACAAAATTCCAGTTGTGGTTTACTGTGATCCAGGATGTCTAGTAAGTCAAAACACTCAGCAAAAAAAAAATAAAAAATAATGAACTGTCCAATTGCAAGACTACATGTGTGATCAACTGTAAATTGAGCTCATTAATTATAAAGAAAGAAAATCAAATAAAACTTGAGAAATGTCAAATTTTAAATCTCAAATGATAATAGTTATGAATAAAATTTTTCATCGAATCACGGTCCGCGGCTGCCACATGCATGCCAAGTGTCATTCATGGAGTTATGTAGCTTAGCATATTCACAGTTCCAAACATGGGATTTATCGGCTATCAGGATCTTTGTATTGATTGGTAGTGTGGTTTGAATCTGCTGTTTAGATTTTCATTTAAATTAACTCAAATGATTTTGAAATTGAAGTTAGAATTATATATGGAGAAATTGAATTGTAATTCAGGTGGAATTCGCAAAATGTAAGCTTCAATGCAACTACAGTTTTTTTTTTTTTTCTTTTTCTTGAAGGATTCGGTTACGTGAACAGTTAAAATAAACTTTATTGGATCAAGTTTGAATTTAGATTGATTAAAATTTTATTCGAATTTAATTTGTTTACAGGAATAAAATGAATATAGCTCCTATATATGG